TGAGGGCTGGAATGCTCCCGTCAAAATAGAGTCGATTGATATCACAGTGATGCAAAAGTGTTACGAATAATTATGTCGCAAGAAGTAAAAACCCAGTGATTTGACACATTTTCAAAAGATGAAAACTCAAAGCTGGTTGTCCTTAAACTGTCCTTCTCCATTTCAATCAAATGTGTTTGCTCATACTTTTATAAAACCATGTATGACAATAATCTTGCACGCCAAATTCCTCAGATATGATGTGATCTCTTTGGCTTCAAAGCCAAGCTGAACTGCCTGTTCTTTAACCCCTGTCTTCGAGGAGACACATGATCCTCTGCCTGTCCTGCCTCTAGTCCAGCTGGGATAGAACTGTCTTAATCCTCCCACATACAAAACAATTGGCACCGGCACCATAATGACATGTGGAATCAAGACAATGTCAAACTACAAGTGCTGAAGGACACTTAATTATTACCAAACAGTTTTGTGTATGTGATTGCACTAAATGGCATGGCATTCCTCAGGATTCGATATTGGGTCATGACATGATTTGCCAGAATGGAATGATATATTGACTTAAATAAGGCTGCAGCTTCAAGCATTAAACTTCAGAGACCAACAAATCGACAATATAAAGAAATGATATGACTAGTTATACTTTCTGTGGAACAGCACCACCAGTGGTCATAATACAAATATACAGAACAGGATGAAGAAGTGAGCCTGGGGCTGACTTCATTCTATTCCAGACTCACAGACGTCATGTGAAACATCCCCTAGATTTGATCTTCATTTATACATCTTCATCTTCATTTATACATCTTCAATGTATTCTTTCTAGTATTCGATCTAGTTTTAATGCGAATAATCTGAATTAAATTTAATTGATTTCTGCAAACACAGGCCATGATAAACTTAGGCAAAGTGTAAGCATAGACAGTGCATCTATAATATACAGAACCATTTCTGTTGTTGGGTAAATTGTAAAGAACAGAAATTATCAAGTGGATACTGTTACTACCAGAAGATGATTAAAAAGGCATATTGCAGATCCTGCAAATCAGAAATGCGTGCACACTATGGTGACATCATTTTCCATGCAAAGACTGAGACATCTCTCTTTTCCAGGGAAAGTTTTGGGGGCTAGTTTTAGGGTTTTTTTTTTAGAAGTAGTTTGGCAGAGAACTGGCAACCCTGGGTAAAGCTGTTCCTTTAAGTTTTTGGATGCGGGGGAAGTTTTCAGGAGGAAGGGCTGTTATTTAATAACATGACAAACTGCATTTTTTTGGTCTTGTGAGGGAACTGGTGGCTGGTGAGGAAACGACTGTAAAATAGCTGTTATAACATGAGTTATAACAGGAAATAACTTTAACGCACATTCCACAACATTAATCCTAACCTAATAGAACTACTTAGCTGGCTAACTTTAGTTTTGAGTTTTCAGTAGCATACAGATTTATTATACTTATTATATTATGCTATTATTATAATTTGTTTATGCCATTAACCTATCAGTGGCTCATTTGATGTCCATCATTAAAATGTCAAGGCTCAGCATTGTGGAACTGACTGGCTGCATATAGACTAGCTGGGTGGAGTTTAGTGTTTTTTAACCATTCAGGTTCAAGTTCTGTGCAAATCCCAAAATTTCCAAAGCCATACCACTGGCCATGGGGCTCCATATTAAAGTAAGCTTTGCTAATAAACAATTTTCAGGCTTTGATACCAGGACTGATAGTGCAAAACTCTGCATAATTTGCTTGAAGGTGGTCGAGAATGTCAGGCCTGAAATGTCATTAACTCCCCGAAGGTAATCTTCAGCACAAGGCTCATTCAGCCGAATCAATATATGTCGAGTTAATTTAGAAGTCCTCTCATCCAGATGATGTATTACATTTCAGAGGCAGAGGTCACTCCAGAACATGTAAATGAATCCCGTCTATGGTCGTCCATCTCCTTCTATCACTCATTGGCTTGAAATAGAAGCGCATCTGTTGACATTCATGGTGCACGTATGGCATCCAGTTGAACCGATGTTTTGATCAAGGAAGTTGCCTGGGCGACGCAAACACTGTTATCGTTCAGGCTGAAAATGGAAGCCAGAATCTCCCCGACAGCTGCCAGTACCAAGGGTGTAAATGGATAGCCATCAACATGCATGGTTTACACCCGGTCCATAGCTAATAAAGATATGGGATCTCCAACTTTATATTGCTGGTAGTAAAGGATAATCTGCTACACAATGGAGAGCAAGCAATTGTTTCTTTTATGATTTCTTATTAGCGTGAAGACAGGGAATAATCTCACGTGTGGAATTGTATTTATTGTGGACACGTGGACACGTGATCTTGATCCTTAAAATCAAAAAGCAAAAGTTTAACCATCGGAGCATGTGAAATGCTATTTAGAAAATTAAAGGTTTGAAATGCTGTTTAGCTGTTATATGGCATCTCTTCAGCTCTCTAATGGAATACGGTGATGCTATGATCCATTTTTATCCTGTTTAAATGTGTGCTTAGTCAACATCTGTCACGACAGGAATAAACCTCTAAAACCTGCCCACTCAGGCACTTTACCGACAAGGATTTTATCCATCTTGCATCTGAAACATTAGAATCCAACTTGGTCCACTATGTGTTTTTGAAACATGCTATTCTCAAGCCAGAGAATGTTGGAAAGGGGGGGGAAAATAGCAGGAAGTTTATTCATTCATTTTCTGTTTACAGCTTTGTTGAGATTGGTGGCAAAGTTAGCAATGCTAGCCATTTCTGAGAACCTGCCAGCTAATTAACTTTGTTTTTTTTTATCTTACTAGCAGGCAGCTAATATAGACAACTCTGTCATATTTCTGCCACATATTGTTTACTGCTTGTCTGTTTGTTACAAATGTTCTAGCTGGATTTGTTGATTGGAAACTCATCAAGCATAGAGCTTGCTTTTGTCTTGATTGTTGTGTTTGGAGACCCAAAAACCCAAATGAATATTTTCCTTCATCATGCGAAACTCAATGAGGAAACAAACTCTGCAAAATAAT